CTCTTCCCGACCTGACCGCTCTCCTCTTCCCGACCTGAACGCTCTCCTCTTCCCAACCTGACCACTCATCGCTTCCCGACTTGACCGCTCTCTTCTTCCCAACCTGACCGCTCTCTTCTTCCCAACCTGACCGCTCTCTTCTTCCCAACCTGACCGCTCTCTTCTTCCCAACCTGACCGCTCTCCACTTCCCGACCTCACCACCCTCCATTTCCCGACCTGACCACTCTCCGCTTCCCGACCTGACCACTCTCCGCTTCCCGACCTGACCACTCTCCGCTTCCCGACCTGACCGCTCTCCTCTTCCCGACCTGACCGCTCTCTTCTTCCCGACCTGACCGCCCTCCATTTCCCTACCTGACCACTCTCCACTTCCCGACTTGACCGCTCTCCGCTTTCCAACCTGACCACCATCCACTTCCCAAACTGACCACTCTCCGTTTCGCGACCTGACCACCCTCCACTTCCCGACCTGACTGCCCTCCGTTTCGCGACCTGACCGCTCTTCGCTTCCCTACCTGCTCTCCGTTTCCTGACATGACCGCTCTCTGCTTTCCAACCTGTTACATCATCTCTTACACCTGACCACAATCCAGTTCTTGACCTCACCGCTCTCCAGTCCCCAATCGGCCAGGGTTGGGGTCCTTCCGGAATGCATTGATCAATTCCAGTCCAAATCAGGAAATGGAACTGGAGTTGGAACTTAAATCTCCCTGAAATTCAAATTCAACTCCAATTCTGTTCCCCGTAGTTTTTTTTCCAATCCCAGCTCCAGTTCCATTTCCTGACCTCACCGTTCTCCAATTCCCAGTCAGCCCACATTCCAGTTCCTGATCTCACCGCTCTCCAGTTCCCAGTCGGCCCACGCTCCAGTTCCTGACCTCACCACTCTCCAGTTCCCAGTCGGCCCAAATTCCAGTTCCTGACCTCACCGCTCTCCAGTTCCCAATCGGCCCACACTCCAGTTCCTGACCTCACCGCTCTCCAGGTCCCAATCGGCCCATATTCCAGTTCCTGACCTGACAACTAGGTGTTCCATCCATCCAAAGTTCCTTTTGAGAGGGAAACTCAGACGGTGGCCTGAGCGAAAATTTCATTGTGTCCCACAGAGTGATAAGAAATTAAACAGAGAGACAAGAAGACCGCAGAAGGCACGGGAGACAGGGGGTAAGCAGACACGATGGGGCAGGGTGTGACAAACAACCCCCCCGCCAGGCCCCCGCTCTAAAGCTAACCTATGCTAATGTATGCTAATGCAATGCACTAGAGCCCCGCATGCCATCACACAAGGGCAACAGCAACCGCGGTCACCTGCTGTCGCGAGGTGGCAGCGTAACGGCATGAAGCACTCTTCCCCCCCCAGGTGGATTAAGCAGACAAAAACCTAGATGTCTTCACGTCAAACCCCCAATCCATCATGGGAAGGAGGTCACACAGCAGAGCATCTCCACTAAGCACCAATGGCTGCGTGCGACCCGTACCCCATACCGAGGTAAAGGAGGCCTCCCGCCAGGCATAAGGCATGCCTCTGACACCAAGACAGAAGAACACATGGTGCATGTTCCGTGTTCCACAATCTGAGGCTTCAGGAACGCGGAACAACCTTTTAAAATGAGGCTTCTCCTTGTCCTACATTTCACAGGGCCGGCTGTAATGGAGACAGGCCTTTCCGGATGCTGGATATATCATCCCCCCCCCCCCCCCCCCCTCCCGTGACGCACGCACACACAGGGCCCCAACGGTTTCCCAGGTTTCACATGACTGACGGGCACGCCCCTGCCTAATGAGCTCCCCGCTCCGATCTTTTCAGAAGGCAAACGGCATGATAAAATAAATCGAGGAGAAAAAACGTGCAGCCTGCCCCCGGCGGCCAAGGCACGGCGCCCTGGTGGGCAGCCGGGCATGGCGCAGGGTGTGAATCGCAGCCAAACGTCCACGCCCCGTGGCAGGCGATGTGCCCGCCTCGCACTGGTAACACCGCTGTGTAATTTCATTTTCCCGGCACAGTAATAACCCAACACACAGGAGACGACCGCTCGGAGCTGCTATCCTACAAGAAAGAGGAGGAGAAGGAACGGCTGAAGCTCTGCTTTCTTTTTTTTTCTACGAGCCGCAACCACTGGGGGACAATAAAGACGGATGAACAATCGGAGGAGATAAGATCCCCGCCATGCAGCTCCTCTGTACTACAGGTTACATACTGCAGGATTTCCTGTCTAATAGGAAGCAATAGACTGAAGTCAGTTCCACGACCACCCTACAGAGCACAGGGGACAGACTGGCACCAAACTCATAGTCACCTCTCTCATGGCACATCTCCCACACCCCCAAAAAAAACCCATCCCTCAAGTACCAGCGAGAAACCCCCCCCCCCCCCCATATCTTTCAGCCCCCACCACTTCACTCTACACCTCTGGGTTCCATCCTTAACGGGACTAATTATTTATGCCAAATTCAAGATAAGCCTCTTTTCTCCTCACAATCTTATCTGCCGCTAATTGAAAGACAGTTCCCAGGCAAACAGGAACCCGTGCAGCACCTAAAGGAGTGTTCCAACCACAAGTCATATTAACTGGTGTTTATATCACCTCCTTCACATCCGAAGGAAAGCTGTGCCTGAAACGAACGGCGTCCCAATATAAAGGAGGCGTACCCCATCGCCACAAACAATCAATTTCTGATCCAAGTCCAGCGAAGGCCCATGTAGAAACGGAGCTGACATGGTCCGAAAGCCCACAGGAGTTTTCTGATTCCCGAACCAGGACTCACCAAGGGTCAAGCTTTCCTGAAACTGTATTCCGACACCATGTTAATATTTATGTGGAGAGCGTGGACCCCCTTATGCTGTTTAAACCACAGCTTTCCATGATCCCCTGGTGCTCTGAATAAGTGTGGAGGAAGGAGCAGCATGGGCAACTCCAAGAAGCTCACGTGGGACTGTTTAAGGATGCAGTCTGCTTGCTTTGATCTTTGCTCTGGGCAGTAAAACATGAAAAAAACAATTTTTCCACTTTTCAACCAACATAAGTGTGATCTGGTGAGAAATCGTGCCGTAGCAACCACAGGGGGTGGCATATCACTGAATTTGAGCTAGTTTTACCTGTTACGTGTAGCAGGTTGGAGGAAAAAGTGTGATACACAAAACCACACATGCTGAAAAACAGAAATAAATGACATTCTACAAAAGTAGGGAAATAATAAAATTGCAATAGGGAGCATTCTCACCTCAAGCTGTCATGACCACTTTCGTGGGCTGGTGTGCTGATTTTTCCTACTGACGTCACGCGACCCGCCCCAGCCCCCCCACCTCTAGGTCCCGCTGCCTACCACTCTGGCATAGAGAACGAGAGGCAGGGTCCTTTCCGCCGAAGCCACTGCGTCCCACAAATTGGGTACCGTCTGCTAAAGAGCGCAGCAGTCTTCCCCTGAGTTCCTTGACCACCAGATCGGCACACAGGGAAAAAGCCTGGTGCAGCCACAGAATGTTCAGCCTGTCCAGGGACTCCTGGCTCCCCTCCCAGGGGAATCCCTTAGCCCTCGCTCAATCTGTCAGATTCCCTGCTCTGATCTGGTTCCCGCACCGTGAGCTCCTTGACCTGCCAGTCGGTGGCCGATGCAGACACCCGCCACCTTCAGGATGTGACCGTAAAAATGCTTCGGGAAACCACTGGCGGTCTGGGGCTCAGATTTACATTAACCCCACCCCCACGCTCCAGAGCCTATCCGGTCATGGCCGCAAGGTGCACCTCTAGCAAGCCTGAAGACACGGAACCTGTCTGATCTGACTAAGAAAACGTTTGTAAATCAGAGCGCTGGCAAGGTGAGGAAATACACCTCGCTCTCCATCAGAAACGCACAAAACATAACAAACAAGTGTCCTTTAACAGTTTGCCTTTATCTCAGTTACATCATTTAGAAGTGCATTATGTTTGGTTTGAACCCAGATAAGTTTAACTGGGTTTTATTGTATTTCCGCGCAGGTCGAAAGACTCAGCGCATAAGTATACTTCTGTAGCCCATTTTTATGGGGTAATGAGGTGCCGATAAAACGGGTATATTTTAAAAGCCCCGCTATTCGCTGACGAATTCCGTGAGAGGAAGAAAAATACGCACTTCTGTAGTACAGTATGAGTCCGCCGCGCGTTAGGGTTCATTAGCATTCCCTTGTAATCCCCTGACTGCCGTTCAAATGACAGCCAGTCAAGCCGGGAGACCCCAGGCTTCGGCAGTCGTTGCGTATTTGCCAGCCTATAAATCAAGCCAAGGCGCTTCCCTCTCCAGCGCTACTTCAGTCCCTCTCTCCCTCCGTCCATCCCACTCTCTCTGTCTGTCTCTCTCTCTCTCTCTCTCACACACACACACACACACGTAAGCACACGCGCGCGCACAGCCACCGCTTTTAATTAAAGCGCGCGTGCCAAAGAAGCGGTAATAACGCGACCAGAAACCGCGGCACGAGGCGGGGGCGCGCACGCGGAGTGCACCGGCCGTTCGTTACGGTCGGCGAGGCACAGGCACAGGCACGCGGCACCCTCAGCTCCGGAAACGGCGCACGTACAGCAGCTCGCGTGGCGCACAGCCGGCCACCTGTGTACGCCCCCTTTATCCCCCCGCTACATGTGTTAATGCAAAAAAAATGCACCGCAAAACTGCATGATCCGCAAGCTGTGCGCGGCTATCCGAAAGGCGAACACCATAAAAGTGCTTCGTAGAGAACTGTTACTTTTGCAATTCATGATCGGTTCGGTGTGTGAAACACTGAATGGACCCTCGTATCTGGCTGAACTTCGCAGAATCTAAAATCGCCCATAATCACGTAGCAATACATTTCCATGTCGCCGTAAGATTACAAGAAAACTAAATATAATTAAATGGGTTACCCTAGGTCCTAACTGGAGCAGCTCTGCTTGTAGTTTGGTCCGGTTCGCAATGTATACTGCACATGCATTACGAGGTTTGTAACAGTGGCGTTAAAAGGCAGATAGCGGTATTCCGCGTTACCTGAATGTGAACGGGCGTGTAACACACGCACGGGAACCTCGCACTGGGCTGCTCCTCAGCACACGTATGATCCGCCGCGTCTCATGAAAGGCTGTTTTTCATCCACCGACAAAACGCCGTGCGCTCTCGGAGGAAGAGAGGGAGAGACAGACAGACGACGGGGACGGAGGGAGAGAGAGAGAGAGAGTCGAGGAGGAAGGGGGGGGGAGAAAGAGAGAGAGAAGGAAGGGGGAAATAAAGCTCTAGCTGGCTTTACCGTTCCCGACTGCAGAGGAAAGAACATCACTAACAATAATAATATTTTTCCATAGGTCTGTTATTGAGAATATAAATTGAGACGTTCAGTGATACGGTACCATCATAGTATATTGCAATTAACACGCTATTAACTTGAGATAAAGACGGCAAAATCTTTTCGGTGTCTGCGGGAACCAAAGGCACTTAGAATAGTAAATATGAGTCTTTACTGGATGAATAATAAAATAAGATGAATAGAAATAAATACAGCACGTTCACAAACGGAGCGCGTGATGGGGGCAGGCGGCCGGCGCGCGGCTCGTTGCAGGCGCGCGCCTGCTCTGAACCCCGGACACGTAGCGGGGCCCTTTGGCGGCTGCCCGGCACTCAGGGCCTGGGGAGCTGCGCTCCGACGGCCACCAGCACTACTCTGAGCCCCACCGCATCCTATATATTGCTGTCTTGCAGGATGCGCTTTAAAAGCTGCAAATACTCACGCTAATCGGTATTCGCGACCCCAGGCCAACCTCCAGCTAAATTATATATAATACTTGGTATAATGTATGAAATGTTTTATATTAAATTAAATGAATATCATATTGTGTTTTAATGTAATATTTGTGCATAGTGCCGGTCGAATCCCATGAGGCGCTCTAGACAAGCTTCACTGCCCAGTTTCACTTTGTCCCAGACAGTGCGCACTGGGGTTTGGAGGGGGCGGTTTGCTAAGTTTGCGCCCCCCCATAAAGATGACGTCCTAGGCGGCTGTCTTTGTTGCGTAGTGGGTTGACCTGCCCTGTTTGTCCAATTATGTTCGCAGTGCCTGTAGTAGCTGTGCGTGCACAGTGCTGTAAGAAATACTTTGGAAAAGTGTGGCCGTAACACAGACTGCATTTCAGGAATTCCACAATAACTTCCTGTCTGTGTCTTACAGCAAGGGAGCTGCGTCGTGACCATGTGTGTCTGTCTGTCTGTTTCACAGTAAGGGATCTGTGTCGTGACCCTGTGTGTCTGTCTGTCTCTTTCACAGTAAGGGATCTGCGTCGTGACCCTGTGTGTCTGTCTGCCTGTCTGTACCACACAGTAAGGGAGCTGCGTTGTGACCTTGTGTGTCTGTCTGTGTCTCACAGTAAGTGAGCTGCGTTGTGACAGTGTGTGTCTGTGTGTGTGTCTGTGCACGTCCGTCTGTGTGTGTGTGTCTGTGTGCATGTCTGTGTGTGTGTCTGTCTGTCTGTCTGTGTGTCTGTCTGTCTGTATCTGTGTGTGTGTCTGTCTGTCTGTGTGTGTGTCTGTCTGTCTGTGTGTGTGTCTGTCTGTCTGTGTGTCTGTGTCTGTTTGTGTCTGTCGGTGTGTGTGTCTGTCTGTGTGTCTGTGTATGTTGCCACCTGCTCACAGTCATGCTGTCTTACTGCGTCGCTGCTCTGCTTGCTGCACGATGGATGGCTGTGCTGTAAACAGACAATGCCATGTCATGAACCAGGTGGATCCGGGTCTGCTGAGCAGCTCCCGTCACACGAGCCGACAGACACCAGTGGGCAGGCGACAAGCTGCCGCTTTTGGAAAAATATTCGGCATTTGACTCCACGCAAAACCTTAATGAAATTCGTATTTGACATGGAGAAAGACCAATTCTCTTTTCCAAATGAGAGTGCTGTGATTGGTAGCTTTAAATATCCTTCACCCACGTGCAATTTATAGGTACACACAGCTGATGAGTGACCCTATCATGCTGCGTTTACGCCACACCTGGCCAGTTCGCACTCCCGAGACCTCAGTTGCTTATTTTCATTGTAGCTTTTCTACCTGGTTAATGAAGTCATTATATCAATTGTAAGTCATTGCAGGTGTCAGTGACCCTGAGGCTCCCAGATTTCAGCCCCCCCCCCAGCTCTGGCACAGGCCGTGAGCCCCTCCTGATTCGCCTCACCGTGGATTTCGAATTGGTTCCGCCGACCCACTGGGCCACGTTCAACACAGCAGCAGGGGCTATTTTAGGGCTATTCCTATTCTGGAGTGGGGCCATAATTCATGCAGTGGGGGGCAACCATCACTAACCAATGATGTTTTAAATCAGTCATGTACAAGGGAGGTGGCACTCCGGTGACCAATCAGCTATCAACTGGGGCCAGTGGCCTTGCCCCTGTATATGCACAGCAGCACCATACTGTATAAGGACCCCTCTCAGAGCTTGCCGCCAGGTCTGGCCAGGTGGGGGCGCCCTCCGACAGACAGTGACGTGGGTAAATTCGCAGGCAAGGCCAGAGAATGACAGTGGGACCAGCGCCGGCGTTGTGAGCCAACAGATGGACCTCTGACACAAACAAGGGGGTGGGTGAGATGTGCTGGGTGTCCTTTGGAAGTTCTGCATCACGGCCTGCTGTGAGGGAATAGACAGGCTGAGAGTGGGGGGGGGGGGCTCTGTTTATGTTGAACGCCTCACAGCTGCCTGTGTAAAGCAAATACTGACACGCGGGGGCCCCCAACCAACAGATGCTGGAGCAAATTTGGCACGAGATGCACACACAGACACTCGGTAACTGTTCCAGACAAAGATATAAATGTATGAATGTAGATGTAGAACTACAGTATATAGACATATAAATGTACTACAATAGATACCGATCTAGATTTAGATGTTCATATAGTACCTATCTGTGGAAACACCAGTCAGCAGGTGTGCTGTGTTACAGCTTCAGGCAATCGGACCTCAATAAAAGCAAAAAGGCCTGCAGCAACCATTCAGGCCAGGGCTGAAGGGGCCGCAGACTCACGCGCCACAGTGATACCGCCCCGTTCATAGGGAAGCTCCAGGAGGTGAGGGCCAGGGGCAGACAGGGATTCCAGATGGACGTCACCCATCAGACACCCATCCTCAGGGACTGGCAGTCGGAGACGGGGAGTCGGGAGCGCATAAACCGGGCCTGAGAGAGTGTCAGTTACTCGATTATTCTGTCATTATAGTGCTTTTTTTGCTAATGTACAGTGACACTCATATGTTCACTAACACACCGTATACCTGAGCAGGTCAGGGGCAGGTCCTCAAACAGGGGGCGAGGGGGGGTGGCCACCCGGTGCTTTTTGCATGTTGGGGGCAGGTGCTCAGGCGCACACCCAACCCCATGCATATGTCCCGAATGTCGCAGGATGAAATCCAGAGGGTTCGCCTGTTGTACCTTTGAGGGAGGTATGTAGTCTGATTTGCCCCGATAACTATACAGCCAAGCAGATGGGAAACACAGTAAGTACCTGGAATAAGAGCAGCAGCCAGGTGACAAAATTACAGCTGCGCAGTGCTGGCAACAGGGATTTGTGGAGCTGGGTTTGATATGGCGTTCCCCCCCCCAGCAGGCCAGCCCAGGGACAGGGGGGGACCATGCAGGGCTGGGCTGGTGATGTCACTAGCAGCACAGGTCTGCCTATCACTCCAGGACCTTTGGGTCATGTCGGTGATTCGAGCAGAGAGCTCCCCAATGAAAACCAGAGCGAATAAGTGTGGGCCGGGGGGGGCAAATCTCAAACATCAGCCACCATACGTGGAAAAAAGGAGGGATTCTCACAGATTAGTGGGTCGGCGTCAAAAAAACGGAGGCAGGGATGCTTGGGGATTAGCCGGTCGGTGCGGCTCTCAAAGCTGATTACATACATCTTAATTCGCTGGGTGGCGGAGGGGCCACCGATAACTCAGAGGCCCCAGCACAGGGGCCCCACACCCCTGTCTCTGGCAAATCCCCCACTGCAAGAACTGCCAACACGTTCCCATGGCAACGGACCACAGCAAGCGAAGCTGTATCACCGCCAGACAGGAAGACACCACCCCTCTCATTCCTCTCCTCTTCATTCATTCCCTGTTTCCTCCTGAAGTCATCGCAGGCATCTCTCCCTCCTTGTTGGGGGGGGGCTGCTCAGGTTTGGGTGTGTGGGAAAATAGCCAACTGGCAGTGTCAGAGAAAGGGGGGGGTAGATTTGCTGAGGAAGGCAGATGTCACGAGGGAGACGGATTTTCAGACAGGTGTGGCAGAGGTGTACTAGATTACCATGGTCTGCCGGACACGAGACGAAGGGAAATCCAGGACGGAGAGTCACGGGCAGCAGCACCATAGATGGATGAGAACTTTGGGCCCCCCTGCACTCACACACAAACC